GCCACTTGCCACTACACCACTTCCGCCCATTGACCATAACCAGACATACATGCAGAAATTCTTCATTTCATATAGATATCCTCTGCACCTACTTGGACAGGAGCTACTCTGTCGACCTAAATTTAGAAAAGTCCTTTTTTTCGCGAAATTCCTACACAATCCACAATCCTTTCGTAATCCCAACAGGCTCAACGTCAAAATCTTTCCCCATCAATCACAATGCAGCCGAAAATGGCAGACTCCACTATCGCTGCGCACTCTCATCGTATCACCATAGTCAAGTAACACACACGGCCCTAGCTGCACCTCGAGGTGGTATCCACGAGCTGCAGCGCCTCCGCCAAAGATCGATTTGAGACACCGAAAATCTTCGGATGCCTCCCTCGGGTGCATGTGTGTTTAAGCTTCTGGGTGAAATCAGAGGGATGAGCCATATTTCGTTTGTGCGTCGTCTTGGTGGAAGTGAAGTGGCTATCGCATTCTTTGTGTTAAGGACCCGCTGCATCAACCTCTGATAGTCTGGTTCACAGACAGAGGGCCTTATTGCAGTTGTATCAGCCAAAGTTGACCTCTTCAACGGAAGTCATCACTAAATAGACATGAAAAAAAGGTGAGGAAGGGCCTTCCCGGGTCTGATTTCTTCTATCACTATCAGTTGTCCCATTTTAAGATGCTAGGGGACAAAAGGGTCCCTGATGGGGAATATAGTGAGAATATATGCAGAGAACATCTTTAATATTATTGAGAGGTCTTCAAATCTCCACCAAAGGTTGGATTTGAGAGCGGAATCTATGTAGGGACCCCCCCCCCCCCCCCNCCCCCCCCTCCGAGGGACCAGAACAAATACAGACAAATCTCCTGTACAGGATGACCACGCTTTTCATCCCATCAATCAGAAACGAACCTATCCGTGACGGAAAAAAGCATCAGCTCCCTCAGTGACCCACCAGAGCAAGTTTTTCTGATTTCGATTGGAGATCGAATGCACGGCGTATTCCAGGGAAAGACCTATCAACACCATGCTACGGGGATGGTTTATTGCTAATATAGAGAGCAAAAAAGCCAAGGAAAAGTCTTTCCACGAAGACCCTGTTTGATATTTTTAGGATGATGTCTACCTTGACGGACTCGCGAACCTCGCCATTTTTCTTTTTAGATAGATTTCAAATAAATCTTTTTTTTTCCTTTCCCAATTAGATCCCAATGGGTTTCACTTGCTGTGCTGACAAGGAATCTACATATCAGAGAACGGTTCCAATCCCTACCTCACTCACTTCTCAAAAAAGCTTGTTCACAGGGGCTTTGGGATGACCCTTGAAAGGACGGTTAAGTTGCACCTGAAGAGTGTGATTTACCGTGAGTTCTTCCCGATCCCAACCACCGTCGTCGTATTCATAGCGATCCCCAGCATTTCTCCCTTAGCACTTGCCTTCCCCTTGACCTCTCTGGGTAGCGTAGCACTATGCCTCGTTGATTGGGTACATTCACTGGTGCCATTGATGAGTGTGTATTAGGAAATGCACGCCGTTTCGCATTACGAGCAAAGCGGTCACGCAAATGCTCGTACACGTCCGACTCTCATGAAAGCTATCGCCGTACGGACCGCCAAGACAGAATGCTCCATTCAGAATGTACTATACGAACAGCTACAAAATGTCGACTAATGGAGCTTGTAACGATGTTCGGTTCAATGAGGAGTTCGGTGTCGATACAGGATCAAAACCTTGCTAAGAGAGAACTCTTAGCTATTTCTGGACACCTTAGCTTCTTGATTGTTCCTCCTTTTAACTGCTAGTATCATCATCATCGTGGTCTGAGGTCGTGCAAAGGTCGGTATAAAGCTATAGGGTAACCCATCCCTTGCCCATGGCTTCTCGGACCACAGAAATGTTTCAGTTCACAAACACCCTGGCCTAAGAGCTATTTGGTTCTTCTGAACCGTTCCACTTACATAAGCAGCAGGGAAACACCAAGTAGTAGCATATGAATGATTGAGGAGTCACTATTTTTCATAGTTCAAATTTAAAAGCTAGTAACCTTTTTTGTTCTTCATTCCCCGTAGTAATTTATAAAGAAAGGTACTTCAGGTACAGTAGTCTAACAGTATGGTTGGTTTCAGTATGGTAAGTGTTGGTTTTGTGGACCCTTTCTCCTTCTCTCTCGTCTACCAAGTTACTTACTTCGAATTCTACTCACATAGGCAGGATCGATCAAGCCCTATGTCAAGTTAGGGACAACTCACAAGCTCGCCTAGCAAATGAAGCGCGATTCAGCTTTAGCTCTACAGAATCTCGACATGCCTGGGTCTTGAACTACGTAGAAATTGGTGCTGACTTGCATTTTCTGCAACAGTAGGTTGGTTACAACAACTGGTAATAAGCACAGGTGGTACGCTACCGAAATTCAGTCCGAAACATTGATGCCCTTCTTCGAAATCAAAAGTGATTTGGTCACTCCAGTGCAAATCAGAAGCGTTGCCGACGCAAGCCTACAGAAGTCCCTGTATTCTAGGCCTAGAACCAATTCTGCTTTTTACCCCTGGAAATCAATGAAAATTGAGATCCGGTAAACCTCCAGTCATTATTTGATACAAAAAATCCAAAGGAGGTTAAAGCTGTTAACATTTTCCGAAATTTCACAGCAGCATCTTTGCAGGTCTCCATTTCCAAACTACAGTAATCCTACAGTAATCCGCCACAGTTGCATTTTTTTCAGATTTCCTCAATTTTCCATCCGCATATACACCCTCAGTAACAAATTCTAATGCATCTGCACTTCAATACGAAATGTTAAGCCATTCGATCATCGCCCTCCGAGGTCGGTCAAATTGTTCCAACATTTTACAGCTCCCGACGGGATTTCAAAGCTGCAAAAGGCGATTACCCGATGACTGACGACTTCACAGAGGACATTTCCCTTGAGAATACCATCAACCCACATGATGGATTAGTATCATTAAACATTAAACAGAATGATTAATACACTCTAAAGGTTTTTCGGGGCATTTGCAGGGAAATAACACAACTATCGAAAAAGATCGGAGACGATCGTTTCTTTTGAGTTGTCCAAAAAGAACTAGTTTGCCATAGCCATTACTCAGATTCACTGGTCGCTTGGGAAAGCCTGGGAGCCTTATGAAACGCTAATTGCAAAGCCTTCCAAGGCAATGATTCATTGGCTTTCCATTGGGAATAATGGCGGCTGATCGATATGTATTTAGGCCAAATGTACAATAGAGGTAAAATGGAGCCAAGAGCCATTTGTGGGGAATTCAGGAGTACCCAACACCGAGGTGGTGTAGTGGCAAGTGGCGCACTATCTCACACGAAGGTCAGGAGGTCGAATCCCGGATCGATACCCGACTAGGACAACCAAGCCTTCCATCCCTCCGGAGTCGGTTAATTGGTACCAGACTCGTCTGGGAGGATAAAAGCACTGACTTGTACACCAGCGCCACGCCACCGCAAGTCATTGTATCGGCCATATACGCACTCATTACGCTACTACGATTCTGAATGGAAGTCGAGTGCGGGGGCGCATCCCTCAGGCGGGATTGATTAACGCCAAAAACTTTATCCTTTAACGTCACTCGGAACGAAGGCCACTTCTTACAATCGAATTAAAAAAGGAGAAAATACCTCCAAATCATAACTGGTCATCAACAGAATTGAATTTATCTTGAATATTCCTGAAAATTTAGGTAAGAACCTCAAGCATGGCTTACTCAACTGCAACACTCAACTAGTACAGCTCGTAGCTGAGAGCTTTATCCTCCTATGAGTCATGAAATTGTCTATAAACATCAACTGCCACGGTCAAATGAACCCAGATGCGATTGGTTTTGTTTGTACTTAAGTGAATTATCAAAATCACTTTTGGCTGTCGAGTTACATTTTAGAAATTTCCGTCCTACGTTTTATTGATTTATTTCCTTATCCGAATTTTTGCACCATTGGCTATTACCGCTTTCTACCTAAGGGAAACATTACTCTAATGATGCGCTAAAAAGGAAAATTGTTGACTACGAATTTGCGAAAAGATCACAGTTCAGAAATCGTCCCTTGGACGATGGATGTTCCTTCTGAATGCTCGATGAGATGACCGTTGGCATTCCTTTCGCAAATGTTTTCAATCTGCTGGTCCCACATGCCAAGGATGCGTCATCAATAGGTGATTTGAGGAATTCCAAGACTGAAACGAAGAACGAAGCCTTCGGCCTAAGCCTTAGCGTCGGTCCTTTCGCTCCGGTCTTCGGTCCTCGTTTCAGTCTTGTGATTGTGTTTGATTCCAAAGAAGGCACAGAAGGACCAGGCGAAAAAAAAAAACGCCTGCACTATATGGGACCGATTCTGGCAGTAGACCAGCTAGAGGCATGGCACAATCACTTTCAAATCCCCTCACTAATGCCAGTGTTGCCTGGAAAGACTGTCGGGGGAACAGTTCCCACTGAAGCTCATTGACAAGCGCCAAAGCAACCTCACTACCAGTACGAATCAGAATAAAAGAGAACCCTGAGCGAAACAATAATAAAGGGTCCTCAGATCCATAAACTATTTATGCCTTTTTCCCTTTTCATACTTCTTAAGGGCGGCTCTCCGCCCACACGCTATCCGCTCACTTATGACGATAGGCTCGCTTCCGCAACGCCGGCCGATTTCGCTTCTGACACCCCCTCATTAGACCAAAGAGATTCGTCAGCGATTAGATCGAATCTGCGTAATTCCGATGTCAATCAAGCAACAAATCTGGATTTAAGGGGTTAAGCTGTTCCGAGAACAAGGAGAACTCCCATCATCATCTGTGAGCTCCCAAGAAAAAGATCCCTCACGCTCATACGAAGGTATAGACTTTTTGATTGGATCAAAGGAGACTACTGAAAGCACTGCTTACAATGGGCCGAACTACGTAGGAGAGGCCTTTCACCTCCTTCCTAGTGAGCTTGAATGGTTCCAGCTTTGTCAGATGGATGAAAGCTTCGACCTAATATTTGACCCTGCCCCTGCAACAGATTTTATAGGCCTCTTCTAGGCCCTTAATTGATTTATGAACTTGTGACAGGTTTTTCGGAAGGATGACACTTCTGATCTGATGGTTGGAAAGTCCCTACAATGTATTGTATGGTCCCTATTGGGTAAGACTTGCTGAAAGCATTCCCTACAAGGAGCCCAAAACCAAGTAAGGCTTTTCCAGTAGTTACTTATGGGTCCACAACTAGTAAGAGAATGGTCAGAAGTGTGAGAGGACTGGAAAACTCGTGCATTGTACGGTCGTATGAATTGTCTAACTTTTTTTTGGTTATCACAACGTTCAAATAGGAATTACAAAAGAGGGAGAAGGGTAGGCGTTGGCAAACACCAGATTGATCGGTTTCATGTAGCTCTCAGGCTCTTTTCAGCGACTATAAACACACCACATGGCAGTCCAATAATTTTCCGTTAAAAAAACGCCTCCAAACCACCGACCCCGTTACCATGCGGTAACACTTTTTATCACATTGAATTGAGTTTTATGATGGAAACTTACGATCGACATTCATATGCAGTTTCTCGCGAATCACATTACATACGTCAAATACGAGGGTTGACGAATCGAACTGCATCGTCTTTTTGGTGCCTTTCTCCGAGGAGATCACGTTCAACGTGATCACGCCCATTGTGAAGGCGTCACTCACGTACGTTGGTCGAGGTACTGTAAAATACCGTATTATTGATCAAAATGACAGATCGATACTGACCCACGAGATCGAAGAAGTTACGATATCACAGATTGCAGAAGCGAAAATTGGTGAGAGATATTCGAAACAAAATATCGCCCCGAAGACTAATTCCCTGCCAATCAAGTAATCCGTAAACCCTGTGGTCCCGAACCCGAATGAGCAATCTCAACCCTTAACCATATGCTGCCACTTTTGATGATTTCTTCCGGCCCGGGTCCGCTTTTACACATTAACGAGGCTCATAGACTTGCCACAGCACACAGCAAACACTTCATCCAAAATTTCCCAAGCGAATCTATCCCATTTAGCCCAGGGGGAGGTAATGCAAACGTGGGACAGTCCACCAGTATGCCTTGAACTGGAACCAGGAGGAAGGTGACCATTGGAACAAAATTTTTAAGGAGAAGAGCTGAAAATCAAAAGTTATTCGAAAATAACAAACAAAATGTGAAGGTAAAAAGGAACACAGAAAAGGTGCTCAGTCGAGAGAAGGGGTTTGTATCGTTTTTTTTTTTTGAATCACTTATGATAGCATTGGTGTAACCTCGAAAAACTGCAACGCATTACTGAAACACGAAAAAGTTTCTGGGAAGTAATGGGAATTCCGGGGAAACGGTGGATCCTAAGGCAGACTTGAAAAAAATCGAAGGAACAGATGTTTACAGCAATGAATTCCCAACAAATTTCCCAAGAACAAACTGAGAAGGCCCATCAGAAAAAGCGTTTATACCCAGAACGAATGCTGATACAATCAGATAGGCCCTCCACAACTATAATCAGAAAATGAACAAAAAAACTTGGATAAAGCTTACATTCAATAAATTGATCGTGAAGTCGGTAATTCGTGGATCAAATGCAGGAAACTCTAATATTCAAGGTTTAAAATGTAGTCCAACTCCTAGAAGTCAATTGGAAAGGAGCCCCGATTCCCAGGAAAACAAGCGCCCAAAAAACTTATCTCAAACTGCTTTAGGATTTTTATTCCAAGGCCCAGTAATGTCTTATGAATGCCCAAAACGTCTGGAACTGAGCTAGAGACAAATAGGCCCTTTCTTTAGCTCAGCAACTAGAGAACCCTGAACAACCTTTCTAGGCTGCTCTCTGATGTGGAGAGGAACCAAGCGATCTACCTTGGCACCTATTCTACTGTTTCACAAGGACAAGGTAGAGTAAACAGTAAATAATTGTTGCGCTGAATTGAATCATTTTTCCGAGGGCCAATTTCTCTTCCATTTACTTGACCGGCTTCAAATTGAGAACCACCAGATTTTGACAGTTGCCAACGCCTACGAGTACAAAAAGCTCTTGCTCCACTTTCTCCATCTGTCAGGGGTCAGATTTCTTATTCCCAATTCGTCCTGGATGATCCCATATAAGATTGAACCCGACTTCGAAATTCCACGTCAAAGTTTCAATGATTCTCAATAAATGGCAAGGAAGGAATATCCCTTCATTCATTTACAACGACCACCTTCAAACTAGATTTGTAACCACGACAACGGGGTTGTTGTTGTTTACTGGTTGTTTACTGTATCTAATCATACTCGACAGCTCCTTAGCTCCGATATTTTTGATCCCACAAATTGTTTAAAACTTGAAATAAAGCAGCCCTCGAGGACTGGGGAGGTCGAGGGCGCATGTCTCGTTCAAAAATGCTGGCTATGTTACACAGAAGATGCTCGTCAGATGGGCGGTTTTTTTAAAAATTCGAAAACGATTTCAAGGTCCATTGAACTCAAAAATTGGTTTACCCAGCAGGTTGTTCTTCAAGAGCATCTCACAAATTGTGAAACCTGCAAGTCCTCAATTCATTTTTTCTTCAAATCCTTGAAAAGTCAACTTTGTCAAATTTGGAAGAGGCTTTTCTTCTTGTGCGCTATTAGAACGTCAGAAGAGAACCCTACGGGTCAATTCCAAGATTCCAGGACGCGATAGATTGAAAGGATCAAAATTTCCTAGTGGTCCACGGAGGCGGCAATGATCGGGACCGTCTCCGGTTTGGTGTATCAGCCCGTTATTGAGACGGTATCACGAACTTCTGTACTGATGGAATGTCAAAAGAAGTAGGAACGAATAGATGAGCAGCTCAAAGATCCGCATTGAATCGGGCGGCGAAGATGGTAAAAGGGAAAGAAATAATGAAATAATGCTGGCCAGACTGAAGCACACTCTGCTTCGGCATAGAATACCTTCATTACCACCATAATATTAATTTCTAAGATCACTCCGATCTAAGGGATATGACCACAGCTCCAGTCATGCAATCGCTGGCACTTTCCATGCCCATCCACTTCCTATCCGCTGTTCTCTCACGCTGAATGTGATCCCATCCCTAAAGCCTATGAGCTAATGTGGTCCATCTTTCTGACATAGACCATCATCCTTGGTTCACATATGAAAGCAATTTATTTCCAAAATTTATAAATTTTGGGGGTTCCTTCTCCCCCCTTGCCCCAAACCCCCAGAAAAACTTGCAAAAAGGAGGGACTTCCGTGTCGAGTAAGCTTAACAGAGGGAAGGCCTTCTTCTCAGGCTGAGGTGGATTAAGTGGCACGAATCCGTCTGTTAGGGATACAAACACTGGACTGCACCATCGGCTTGCTCCCGAAAATAAGTGTGAGAGTCAAATGATCACTTGAAAAAAACGCGATTCTGAGAAACCGTGTACTCAGCGAATTCCCATGCCAATCAACGCTCGGTACATGTCCTCCTTATTGGCAAGGATGCTCCACAGCACTTTCCAGGGTCTCATGAAACTTGGCCGTCGTCGATCTGAATTCCGCAAATAATCCGAATTTTGGAAAAACGAAAGTAAACCGACCCAAAAGGTACTCTCAAAACTGCAAAATACTAATCTGCCCCACAAATCAAAGTTCGATTGGGAAAACAATTTTGTTTTCAATGCCCCGGGGGAATCTTGATGGATCTGTGGATTGGTACGCTTCGAGGACGCACTGCCCGAGAGCCAGGTTTTCGTCGCTTACAGGCAAAAGGAAAGAAACAACCAGAGGGCCAGTAAAGAAAAAACAAACAACAAAAGCAGAATAGGTTTATCTAAGGACGAACGAAGGTCTTGTGAATGTCTTTGGGGGCACGTTCTGGAAAGCAACTGCCCTCAAAAATAAACTGAACCGCCACAGCAGCAGCAGCAGCAGCAGGCACACTCACATACACCATCGAAAGAAAAAAGGATTACACAACGCCAGCCGACGATTTACTGGAGCACGTTGGTTAGTTGGAGATTCTGGAATGAGCCTGAGCTCATCAAAGCCTTAAGCTGAGCCCATTTCGGTAGAAAACAAGGCACTGGCATCTTTTCCCAGCGAAATTCTAGGGAGAATGCGGACGGCAAAACCTGGGCCCTCTATGGGGTTCTACCACTCTGGGAAAGAGCTCAAGCCTCCCGACCTCGCGATGAAGCGCCAGATGAGAAAGTCGGCCAAGTCCGACAGCGCCAACAAAATGGTCTTCATTCAAGAGCTTGAATCTGGAAAACTCGGCCGAAAAAGTCAAGAATCCATGGAATGTAATTCAGTGGTTGGCTCAAGGAACTCATAAACTAAAAAGTAATTGAAAACTGTAATTTTCCGAAAAATCCGAGGGGGAATCGAGAAATATTGGAGGTTTTTGAGATCAGTACAATGAAAGAACGAGCAGTTTGAATTCCAACATGCCTCTCAGCACGCCTGCACCCTAAGGCCGGCATATACAGAGGCACAGAACGTGGTGGCAGCAGAAGAAAAT